TAGTGAGTTCAAGAACAGCCTGGGCTACAGGACACTCTATCTCTAGTTTTCTTCTTTTTTATTTATTTTTACTTTATTTGTATGAGTGTTTTGCCTCATACACATAAAATACACATAAAATAAAAATAAATAAAATTTTAAAAAATTTCAATGAAATAATAAAGATGTACAAAAATAAATTGATAATGGAAGTGGTAGGTATCAAAAAACTAAGAGACTTTGATGAGTTTTTACAACACAAGGCAGATAGGATCATCTGCCATGGGGTCCTAAATTAGACACACAAATGGCTGGGGTGAGAGGCTCCAGTCAAACACAGCAGGGATTGGAAAGCAATCTAGAAGAACAAAAGTCAGGAAACGAATGAAACAGCCTGGACTGCCTGTACCCCAAAGGTACTATGGCCTTTGCCTCTTCATTCTCTCCCTATCCCAAGTTGAAGCTTGAGGCCCAGCTGATGGAGGATGGGGTGGGAAAGTTTTGATTCTGTCTACTCTGCCATGTGAAGGCATCTGAACCTTTCTAAAAGTCATTCAAACCAGACATGTTGGCATATGTGTATAATCCTAGCACTTGATAGGTAGAGACAGGAGGATCAGGGGTTCAAGGCCAGCCTAGGCTACATGAGTGATCCTGTCTCAAAAACCAAACAAGAAGCTAATCCAAAAATTTTAACTTTATGGGACCATGAGATGGCTCAGCAGGTAAAGGTATTTGCCATCAAGCCTAGAGACCTGAGTTCGAGCCCCGGGATCCACATCATAGGAGAGAATTGATTCCTGCAAGTTGTCTACTGACCTCCATATGCATACCATGGCATGCATGTGCCCACATACAGACAAATAAATAGGTAGAAAGGTAGGTAGGTAGATAGATGATAGATAGATAGATAGATAGATAGATAGATAGATGATGATAGATGATAGATTGATAGATAGATAGATAGATAGATGATAGATAGATTGATTGATTGATTGATTGATAGATAGATAGATAGATAGATAGATGTAAAAAAGATGGTGGCACAAAATTGTGTCAACCTGGGGACCAATGGGAAGAGGTACAGCACACCGTGGGTCTGGGAAGCCTGCCCCAGCAGAGATGCTCTCTCTCTTGTACTCTTCAAATGTTTACTAGTGTGCCCCCACCACACACACACACACACACACACACACACACACACACACACACTACCTAGCTCCTTCAGGGACTCACCAGTACCTCTAAGACAAAATCCAAGCCCCCTGGGAAACTTCCAGGCCCTCCTTGACCTGCCTGCCCACCCCCTGCACTCTGCCCCTCACAACCAGCCCCACAGCCTGTGCATATACACACATCCAGGCACTCCTGTCCTCTGCTGCTTTGTATAGGCTCCACACACAGCCCACACACACAGTCTGACATTCTTACCTCCCACGCAGCCCCACCACATGCCTCAAGCATGAACCTTCTAGAAAAAGCATTCAGGCAAACTGAGTCAAAGCCTACTGGACCTGAGTCTGTTCTCAATTTTAATTCTGTCTGAGAGGGTGTACTTGCCATTTGCCATTCAGCTCCTGCTGCCACTGACAATGTCTCCAGCCTGTTGACCTCAGACACCAAGAGTGGATCATGGCAACACCTTCAAGGGAGAATAACCACACTCAAATGACCCCCTGAAGGCCAGTGATGAGGTGGAAACAGTAGGAGAGGCTGGGCCGCAGATTGGCCAATGGAAGAAAGAGGCATGGGTTAAGATCCCTCAGTCGTTGCAGCTGCCACTCAAATTCTTAGAGTGGCATGCACATGACCCCTACACAACTACCTCTTCCCTCCCTCAGTCAAATCACTCCGCTGTTGACTTTTTCTCTGTCCCACATACTTACAAGGCCCACATGGCAGTCTGCTGGTGCCCTACCACTGTATCAGAGCACTCATTAAGGGGTGCTCTTACAGGACCCCAATGTTTGGGGGTTTTTCCTCAGCAGTTGTTTGCATGCCATTGGGGGCTCCTAAGAAGACAGGCTCATCCAGCCTGGCATCCTGTGTGATCTCAGGCTAAACAATTCTCTGAGCCTCATCTTTGAAGTGCCTGCCCCCACAGACTTCTTGAGATTAGCTGAGAGGAGGTTTATAAGGTACATGTCCACAGGAAAGGCAGGGGCTGCTGTTCACAAACAGAAAACTAACATGCAAGACAACTGAGGACATGTTTCACACTTCTCTCAGCAGGGCACACCCATGTTGCCATCACAGGCTGGTTAGAGAGAAGAGATACTGAGAGTGAAGCTGCTAGTGCCTGGCGGGGAGGACCTGGGAGGCTGCAGAGCCCGTGCACATGCTCACCATGCACATGGACTGTCTGCCTTGGAGCTCATTCTCCAGATGACAGCACCCATGCTTTTCAGAACCAGGTTCTGCTTGTCTAAGGTACAAAACCAGGCACCAATTCCTGGCAAGGCTGCACCTGGGCAGAGTCCCTCCAGGCAACAGAGTGGCTACAGGTTGTGATACTCCACAGGCAGCTCCAGGCCTCAGTTCCAGGGGAGAGCCCATGCTGGCCAGAGGGACCTGCCTCCGCCCATCTCTCAGGGAACCTTTAAGCAGGGGAATGCTTGCCATCTCCACTTCTATCTGCCCATGCACTCCTGATGACTGGCCAGTTAGATCAGGCCTGACACCTCTTCACCCCTAGGACAGGACTCTTAAGTACTCTTCTGTGTGTATAATTCAGTTCCAACTTGGTTCTAAGATAGGCTTGGGAGTCTCTGCCCACCCCACACACCCAGGTACAAGCCACCTGCTGCCTGCCACCTTGGCCAGGCTGGAGATCCTATCAGTAACAGAAGCAGGCTTGGACAAGAACAGACTGTGACACTTAAATGTTAGATTTAAGGTTGTTGCTCCAGGTCTGGAGATGGAGCTGAGACCACTGTGTGCAAATAACAGAGGATAAATGACAAGAAAGCAATTCCTGGCCCTGGGTAGCTCTAGGCCTGCCCTGAGAGCAGGAGCCAGGACCTGCAGGCCACACCCCAGAATCTGTAGCTATATGCCCTCAGCCTAGCCCTCTGGCTCATGGTACCTGCTGCTTGCCTAGCTGTCCAGGGCACCCCTGGGCCCTGTGCCACCCTGTCCTCTTCCAGGCCTATGAGAATCTTCTCACAAGCATGGTTTCCTTCATTCCTTCATTAAAGCTTATTAAACCAACCAGGTGAGGTAGGGTACACCTGTAGTCCCTTCTACCTAGGCTTGAGCCCAGAGGCTCCAGACCAGACCGATATAGTGAAACTCCATCTCAAAACAAGCACACAAATGGACTAGCTTTTCGTCTAACCACAGGTCTCTGACCCTTACTATAGAGCTGCTATCTTGGACCCTTGCTTCTCCAGCCTTTTTTCCACACTTCTCAGAACACCTATCCCTATCTCCCAGACAGGACATGTGAGCACAAAGAAAAGGCCTCAGTATGCAGAGAGCAGGGAGGACGACAGAGTCAGGGTCAGGGTCAGGGTCAGGGTCCAGTGACAGGAAAGACAAATATGTCTCCTTCCGGTTTGTTGATCAGCTAGCTAAACATCCCTTAAAAATACCCTCCAGCTCCTCTGAAAATGCAGCCATATCAGCCCTACCAGAGAGTCAACCATTGTGGAAAGGTAAACTGAGTCCCTGAGCAAGGCAGGGCAGGCCCCCAGACAGAGTGAGTCACATAGCTCCTGCCTCCTCTCCAGCTCAGCTTTGGCTAGGCTAGGGAGGAGGAAGTGCTCCTACAGGAACCAACCAGAACCAGCCAGAAGATGACGAGAGAGCCAGGGGCAGCTGTGGGCCAACATGGCTCACTCCCCCACCCCGCCCCCAGCTTATACCCCAGCTCTGCTGTGCACATCTACCATAGCCCACTTCTGAAGGCTCCCCTGGACGGACTGAACAGAAGGCAGGAACTGTCCCTTCTGTCTGTGGACTGAACCAAAGTAAAGCCTCTTCTGTCTGTGGATACCCCTCACTCTAAGGACAAAGAGCTGTGCCTGGTGTAAGCAGTCAGCCCTCTTTTTCAGATGAGCCCCGTGGTATCATTTTTATGCCTAGCAACACCTCTAGACTCCATTTTCCTATTGCATCATCTTCCCTTAATGATAGTGAACACCAGGCTAGGACATGATGGCTAGGGGCCCTTCGGAGACATGGCACTATCTGACACCATCTAAGCCAATGGAGTCAAGTCCCAGAGTTTGTTTTTGCCCAAGTAAGAAGCTTGCCTAAGCCTTGAGCACTCACACCCTGGGCCTTACCTCCCTTCTGCTCAGTTTCCTTAGGAGAGACGCATCCTCCTAAACAGGATGCTTTTTTTTTTGCTTTTTTTTTTTTCCACATAGGGTCTCCCACTGTAACTCAGGCTGGCCTAGAACTGGAATTCACTGTGTAGCCCAGGCTGGCCTCAAACTCACGGCAATCTTGCTGCCTCTGCCTTCTGAGTGCTGAGATTATGGGCATGAGCCACCACCCACAGGGCACTTTGGACTTGATGCCCGGCTGCAGCTCCATGGCCCCAAGGAGGGTCTCAACCAAGTTAGAGCTTGGGGTAACTCAGCTCCTAGCCCATGTTAATAAAGGGGAGCAGAGTTCTAAGCCCCCGACTCTTGGAGGGTTCACAAACTTTGGTGCAAGTAGCAGACCCTGGTTAGGTATTAACACTGGAATCCCACCTATGCCCCACCCCAGAGACTCTGATGTGGTAGAGCCCAACTGGGCCCTATAACCTGCACTTTCTGAGATAGGGTCTGAGTCTGTTGCCCAGGTTAACCTTGAACTCTTGGACTCAAGTGATCTCCCTGCCTCAGCCTCCTTGAGTAGTTTGCACTACAGGCATGTTGTCACAAAGTAATATGTATTTTAACCTGCTGCGGGAGAGGGATGCTGTCCTCTGAGCTGCTAAAACGGCTGAGGGCAGGAGGCCCACCCTGAGCACCAGCTCCTGGAAGGCTCAGGGAAGGGTGAGAACCCAGACATACATCCCAACCTACCACAATGTGAGCTGGTGTGGTCGACAGGTCAGACACCCATACTGGCCTGGGTGTGGAGTGGGGGACTGCTTGTGCATTCTTCCAGACCTCTGAGGACAGGCTGGGAGAGTGGGAATGGTCCACAGCTGATGATCCGGTCCATCCTCCTTCCCTCCCTTCACATACAACTGGCCCCTAGCACTTAGCAAATGCAAAGGAGAAGTAGAGAGACTATGATTCACATCTGTTTCCCCTTAAGACACACACACACCCATTTTCTTCAAGATCTGCCCAGCACAAACCAGGACAAGAACCAACAGATTTAAACATTTATGGAACTTCCTGCTCCAGTCATGTGGCACAAGAGATACTTGCAGCAGTCCCAGGTGAGCTGGGGTGTCTTTTGGACTGTGCCAGGGGCAAGCTCAATGGGCTTCCCCTAGATGGGCAACTCAGGCTGGGTCGTGTGACTGCTCCATGAAAATAAAATGCAAAAGCTCATCAACTACCCACTATGAGAACCAAGAGATAGGGAAAGGACCTACAAGAGACTAGGGGAAGAGAATGCTGTGAAGCCTTGAGCATCAGGAATCCCTGGGATCTCATCAGAAGTGCAAGGCCTCCTGGCCAGATGCCAACAGCAGCGGATGTGGAACAAAAGCACATCATGCTCCCAGCCTGGCCAAATGCCCCTTCCTGTTCCATCTGGAACCCAAGACAAAACCCACTGGGATCAGGCTCAACCTATCTGTCCATTACAAGGGCTTGTGGGAGCATTCTCCTCAATTCCCAAAACACATTCCCTTACAGACATTAGTTTACTGCAGTCAGGATCCTCTAGAGGTTCTTCTCCCAACACTGGTGCCACAGCTCTGGAAGACAGGTGGATGGCACTATGGGAACATGGTGCCAGCTTTGAGTTTGAGTCCTGGCCCTAACACTCATACTAGAACAAGACCCTTGGGTCCCTGGGCCACCAACCCTCATCCATAGGATGCAGGTGACAGTGCCTGTCCTCTGGACTTATTGCAAGGATTAAAGCATGTGCATTTAATATGAATTGCCTGGCACATACGTGGTGCTCAGAGTTTCTTCCCTTTGCTTCCTACCGGTATAACTTCGTTTCCTCCTCTCTGCTGCAAATCTAAAGAAATCCAAAGCTCACTTCAGAAATACTAAAGGCCCCAGGCACTAAAGACAAAATGAATATCAGCAAACCCTCAGCTTTGTATTTATCTGCTACATCTGAGGAGCAACTTCCCTGAATCCTACAGTTTTTCAGTGTGGAAAAAGGAAAATGTGGTATAAGTGGTTTAAGAGAATTCAGTGAGAAAGTGACCAGGCCAGTATCCAGTTTTCTGAAATCCCGGTAGCCCTCTTCAGGCTGCTGGGCGACGCGCGGTGCATAAACAAGGTTACAAAATGGCCTAGAGAGTCTAAGGCTGCTTCTCAGTATTTGGTGAACTAGTAAGCATCCTAACTCTTCAAAGTTTCTGGGGGTAATCAGAATCACCACTGAGCATGCAGGGACAAGTGTTCTAGCTCTCCGCAAAGTTAACCGGCACTTTTCCTTTGGATCTGCCTAGCTACCTCCTTCAAAGCAGGCACATTCGGAAGCGGAATCCTTAGCACTGTGTCCCTTCTGACAGTGCCAGCATCCAAAGTTGCCTTGCTCTTGCCAGAATGAAGCCTCTTCCCGCCCCTGCAAGCTAGGACCGCGCCTAGCAGCTGCGTGCTCCGCTCTGGGCAGCTCTCGGTGGAGGGCGCTGGGAAGGTGCATCTTTCAACGCGGAGCTGGAGAACCTCCCGCGTCCGAGTGTCCAGGAGCTCACGGGGTTCCTCGCCGTCCACGCACTTCCCAGAACCCCTAGAGGTGCCCCTATACAGATTCTCTAGCTGGGAGCGACCGGAGCATTCCGGATGCCTAAGGAACGCACACTCGCTGGAGTTCAATTCTGGTGCCCCTGGAGGATCTCGGCAATCAGCTGAGATGCACGTGTCGCGGGGGATGGCTGGCACCCCCACGCGAGAACTTTAGTCTCCAAGTGCCTCGTGTGCTCCTAATCTGGCCTGTCTGGGGTCCCCGAAGGAAGAAGCCTGGGCCTGGGGAGGGACCCTCTGCGAAGCTCTGACCCAGCCCGGGCTGGAAAGGCGCGCCTCACCTGAGCGGGACGCGGATGGCCAGATACCTGTCGACCGCCACCGCCAGGAGGCTGAAGATGGAGCTCTGTGTGAGGACCAGCACGAAGCAGGCGAGGAAGAGGCAGCTGTGGAAGTCCGTGCAGAAGCCCAGGCTGATGGTGATGGCGAAGGGGATGGCGAAGAGCCCCACAGCCACGTCGGCCGCCGCCAGCGACACCAGGAAGTAGTTAGTGGGCGTCTGCAGCGTGCTGGAGGTGCCCACCGCTGCGCACACCAGCAAGTTGCCCGCCACCGCCAGCGCGGCAATAACCAGCTCCAGAGCCACGTACAGCGCGTCCTGCGTCTCCAGCTGCATGGCCGGGCCAGCCGGGCCCGGGGCGTCGCCTACCGGGGCTGCGCCGGGCGCAGTAGAGTTGCAAGGGCGCCGCCAGGCATGGCCGCAGCACCCGGACCGCGCGTCCAGAGCCAGGTCTGCTGCGCCTCCCGGCCAGAGAGCTCGGAACAGGAGCCGGGGGCGGGGTCTGGGCGGGGCCAAGACCTCCACCGGCGCCCATTGGCCCCGCGCCCTCCCAGCCGGCCGCGACCCCGCCCTTTTTCTGAGGGTCCCAGCCGCGCTGCTCCCGGAGCTCCGCCCCGCGTTGGAGGGAAACTGGTTTCCCGGTTTTGCCTTGGCATGCGATGCATCCATCCAGCCTGGTTCTGCGGGTGTCCCCCCGGGAAGACACCGCGTAGCCACTCCACCGCCACCTCCCACGGGCCATGAGGTCCCAGCTTGTGCCGAGTCCTGCGCCCGGGCTTCGCGCGCCTTGGGCCAAGCTCCGCTGCGAACTCGAGGGGAGAGTGGAGGAACCGCACCCAAGCTTCCTGGAAGGCTCCCTCCCCGCACCCAAGCTGCCCGAGGTTCCCTCCCCGACCTCCTGCGCGTTCTGGATTGCCCCTCTCCACCCTCTGGTCGGGCCCCTTCATCTGGCGCTCTGCTCTCAACCCTGGGTCCGCCTGGCTCCACACCGGATCCTCTCCCAGCCCTACCGGTGGTCCCTGAGCGCAACAGTCGTCAGCTGGGGTTCCCAGCCGGCCCAGCCCGGATCCACAGCTCCAAACCCAGGGCCTCTCTCCATTCCTCCCGGAACCCGTGCCGCGTCCCCTCCAGACTCGGTTACTGCCTCCGCCGCCCTCACCCACCCTTGAAGGGTGCGGAGTGCCGCACCTCCAGGTGACCAGCCTCACCGCCATCCTTCCCTCCATCTGCCGGAAGCCCCCGGCTCCCTCCATCACCCCCATCCCTCCCTCCCTGCGGGTCCTGGCTGCTCCCTGGCTTATGGAATCTTCGATACCATTTTTCTAGCATATACCTGGCTGTGCCATTTGCCCACTGAAAGTCGCTGCCAGAAATTACTAGCCAGGATGGTTAAGGAGATTGTCTGGCAACAGGACAAGATGACTGAAAAATAGCGTTAAGCAAAACCAAACACGGGGTGACTACTCAACAATTTCTTTAGGTGGTAATGAAATTTTCTACGTGTGATGAGCTAGTCTGTAAATATACGTGAAAGAGAAAGAGCGAGAGCATTGAATTGCACGTTAAATGACTGGATTGTATGGTATATAAATCGCATCCCACTGTAAACCCCACACTGCCCACGGATATGGATGGCCGTTGTATACCAAGATTCTAACATGAACAAGAAAATCGCCAAGAAATCACAGTTCTAACTGCTGACGTTATTTTAGGGAATTTTTTTCCTCTTTATTTTCCATGTTTAAAAAAATAGCATTTTAAAAAATACTTTATATGTTTAATATAAAATATTGGCAAGTCCACACATCCCCATGCCCTGGGCATCTGAGTCTTGATAGTACCAGCTCACCTGCCAAGGCCCCACAGAACTTGTCACAGACTTCTGCCTCTTGACATAAACAGGCTGGGACCTCAGAGAGCATACAAGGGCTCTTGCTTGGAATGGGAAAGGGAGGAAAGAGAGGCATCTTGGAGTGGTAGCTTTTGCATGGTGGGCGAGGCATTCCAGTGGTCACTTTAGGGTAGGGAGCCATTCCAGGCAGAGGAGGGGTTCTGCTTAGGGACAGCCACACCCGGGATGCAGAGAATAGGAGGCCCAGATGGAGAAGGCTTTGCCCACCAGGAAATGAAGTGTTGTACACTAGAATGGAGTGCTGGGTAGTTCTGCCAGGGCCTTGGGCTCAGCTCAGCATTTTCTGTGCCTAGAATGTCCATCACCCTACAGAGCCCAGCCATCTTCAGGAGACTTCTCTTGAATCAGCTGAGTAGGAAGAGTTTCCTGTGCCCAGTCCCTCTCTGTATGGCAGTCTACTGGGTCCCATGTCATCAGTCATGGAGCTCCTCTGTCCTCTCTCCCCATCCCCATCTCTCCCCTACAGTGTCCCTTGACTCACCAACTACCCCACCTCTCCACAAGGTTTATTCAAAGTGAACTTTTTCTTTTATTTTATTTTTATGTGTATGAGTGTGTGGGGTCTCTCCCTGTCCTCCTGGGTCGTTGGCCACGGTTCCACAAGGACAAAGGGAGCAGAAGCAACGAACGGGGTCAGGATGGCCAGTGAGCACTGACGGAAGAAAGCCCTTCCGGGGAGGCAGGTTCAGCGATACAAACAGCTCCAGACTCAGTGAAACAGCTCCATTTATTCAGTGGGGGTCAGGGAA